TTTTCATAAATAATATATATAGTGTGCATTTTTTCAACGCTTCGTATCTTGAAGAGACTTTGTCCAAAACTTCTGAAATTTTTTATGCAAACTAGTCTAGCTGAGGCCTTTATGCAGGCAAAGATTTAGATCAAAATTCGAAAGTATCGCTTTGCTGCCAATATGGACGTACTATAGAGAAAATTCACTGGAAGCTTCATATCTCCTCAGAAATAAGCCAACAACCCGAACTTTTTTTAAACCATAGACACAGCTCACTAAGAGCTATAAGATGCGCGAAACCTCGACTGAAAAGCGCTCTGGCACCTGGGAAGGTTCCCTTGTTAGTTGACAAGTGTGTTGACACTTACAAGCCTTTGTTTGTGATTAGTAGCCAATGTGTATGTTAGTCGTAGTGTTGGTAAAAGAAGCGTCGATAAACTTACTGTCGATCCATTGTATCAATATTTTTGATTTAATGGTGTTATTGACAATTGTTGTGATATTAGTGATTTACCTTTCGTCAGAAACTTTGAAATCAACGTTATTAACTTAATTTCTAAAAATTATGATTTAAGTCATAGATTAGATTGATATGCACGTTATTGAAGCTATGATTTTTCTTAGCACTAGGTAATTTCTAAGTGGAGCTCTTTTGAGAACTGAACTGCCTTGAACGGCAGAACGATTCTTTGAGTTATATTTTCTTTGTTGCTGCTTTACAATTTGTTTAAGTAATAGCTATGTACCAGATAGTCCAAGTTCAAAGATGGCACCTACACTTCATTAATATCTTTTTCATGTTTCGCTTGCTAAGCTCGAAACAGTTTTTTAAAGTTTCTTTCTTAATTCTACCCAAGAGTACATTGAAAAAAGTAATGTTAGATAGCAAGGGTAAAAAGTCAAAATAGAATTGTTTTGAAACTACAGCAGGTGGCAATTTCTAAACAATTTTCGAAAATAATTCTGACTGTATTTCGTAGCTTTACAAGTTGTTTGCATAAATCAGATACTGCTCTATTTTTTTGTGGCGAACGATGAATTCAGTTTCTATGAAGTTTCTGTTTGATTCAAGAAGGAATTGTTGAAAATGCATTGAAAATTAAACATCATTTGTTTATTTTTACATTTCATTCATTATGTGAAAAATGGCGTACTCAAAGTCTAAACTTTTCCTGAAGTATGTTATTCGTGTCATGTTGAATTAAAAGCAAAGATTAGTGTGCATGACTTATTGTTCACTGATGCGTGATGATTTTCTTAGTTGTATTCAACCCGTCGTTCCGAGAATGCGTTTTTTGTCGAATAGTACATTTTTTAATACGAAACGAACTAGATTGAGGCTGAACGATAGAGTCTTCCAATTTTGAAAAATAGCGTCTATGTTCTTCTAGTGCCTTGCAATATGTAATAATAACCAAAAAAAAAGAAATTTGTTCTTCTGCAAGAAAGTTGGCTCTGTATATATTGACACTTTTGAAAATAGTTTTGGTTTAATTATTCACAATTGTAATTTGACATAAACCTGTCTTACATTGTTCCAAAGAAGTACGAGTCTTAAACGATGAAAACCGAATGAGATACTCACGAGATATAAGCATGACAATTTCAGATACGTAAACCCGTAGACAGTGATGAGACACCATGAATAGGTCGTACAAATGAAACAAAATAGTACTTTGTTCTATTTGTCATTTAGGTTCATGGTTTTAGTCATCATCCCGATTCGGGTATAAGTCTACGCCACGATATCAACTAGGATTCAGGCTTCATTCTCGTTCTCCATCCCGCTTTCATTTCCTGTGAGAGTGTCAGAGGTCCAAACAGGTCCACTTTTTTAAAGACCTGGTCTGCCTGTGCCTGTTCTCTGCTTTTCTCGGTCTGACCGGTCTGCCTGTCTAGACCTGTGTATTTTTTTCATGTCAATAGCATGATAAAAATACCATAGAAAGAAGTAGTAATCTTCATAAAAAGTCGTGTCAGTCACTGAATTTAATCTGCATGACTACATTGAAAAGTCTCTAATTGAAAAGTTTATAAGAGTTGTCAGCTTTTCAATTAAAGAAAGGTATCATGCTTCTTTGTATTTGAGAGCATGTGAAATTAAGGATAGAAAAAATACTGTTCATTTCCAAAGGTACCTCTAGTCAGCCGGAGTATTAAAAAAGCATAGTTTTCAGTTCACTTAAAAAGCATTTTCTCTCATGAACGATCGATTTCTAGTCAAAATCGCTCAGCGAAGATTGACATCGTTCTGAATAAGCAAATAACTTCATTAAAGAGACAGCTACAATGCCTACCTGTAAAAACTGCGGACACAATTTCAGGTAAAAAACAGTTCATGTAAAAGTCAGAAAAGGTCCATTTTTCAATGACTAAAATCATTATTCTTTTATCGATTGTCA